AAGCATTTTATTTTGGAACCTCTATAAGATCTCAACATTTGAGTGACTGGCCGTGTCCCAGAGCTGAATGCCATAGGTCCAAATGGGTTTAAGTATTGATTTTTATATCAAAACTTTATTTGGCATCGACACTTTAGATTTACGACCCAGCAACTAATATAGTTGTCTTTGCAAATCGCATTGGACATAATTTCGAAAATTTTGGAGTGTATCGTTGCATCCGGGCTTCAAAGGGTAGTATATCGATAACCGGTTCTGCAGATAGAAATTAATACTTTCCGTACGTCTATGGGTTTTCCTACCTTTAAAGCACTGTGGAGGGACCGAGTAGGAAATAACAGAGCCGCATAAGCTCGTCCGTGTATCGGAGCGAGACTGAGAGACTACGATCACGCCGTCCGCCGTCCGAATACGTGCATGGCTTACGAATGTACAGGTGACTGGTACAAGAATGTGGAGGTATAACCCATATAGCAGGAGTTCACATTTTGTTCTTATAGGTACTCAGTAAAGCCATTGCTTATGTGGACGACGCTAAGTCAAATTCCACGTCTACTTGGATTGCTTACTTATTTGGTTAAACAACGGACGCACGTATTATTGAAAATATTCGCTCATGTACCGGTCAAAGCTTTATTACGAGGGAGTACCGGTTAACAAATAACTCGAAGATTATCAATTTATATATTAATAATACAGCAATAAATATATAAAAATGGACATATAGTAAATTTACATGATTACAAATCATTTTAATTGATTGATTTACTCATATATATATCATATTCATTCAATATCATAGTGCAAATAAAAGTCTGTTCATATTTTCAAATAGAATATTCTTTCAACTCAAAATACTATCGACACACACAGATATATATATATATATATATATATATATATAGTAGATTTTCAGCACATATTTTATTATTTTGTAAATACCATATACCGTACAGTACCATATTCTCAAAACATGGATTATTGATATTTCGTTTTTAACACTAATATTGACAAATTGTAGATCCTTTGTTGCTACCAATAATTTTTCAATCTCGATTGTTATAGTTTTTTAATTTTTTTTAGTTTCCACTGAATGAAATGAAAACAAATTTTTCTTTACCAAATATTTCAGTCAATAATATACTGCATCATTCAATTGTAAAATAGTACAAATGACAGGGATTTAACTCAATTTTCACTTATATTAAAATACATATTTCATCCCGTTCGATTTTGTATGTATTTTTGCATTTCGAGGTCAAAAACAAAAAAAATAAATATAGAAGATGCGTCATCGTTCGTAAGGCAAGGACACAGATATAAAACCGTGGGTAAAAACCCCCAACCAATGATATAATTCAAAGATGGCTTTACATTAATTAGTTACGTACTTTAGAAGGTGTTCTTAATTCTTTATAATCTTAATAAATACTTATAATTCAATTAGACAATGCAATAACGTTGAAAATCACTGATCAATTATCGTGATCACAATTTACTTAACAAAAAGAACTATTATCATCATCATCATCATTATCTAATTTATATCTTATGTAATTAAAATAATTCGTTCAACTGCTTTTACTGGTTCCTACTGTGAAACAAATTAAATCAAACACATACCAATATTATTTTAATCATAAATATCATTCACGATTTCAATTGTACATGGCTTGTATTCCTAATATGAATTTTAAAATTTATTAGTCCAAACAACTTCTAATTAAATAGAAGCAAAAACCATTTATTTTAATTGAAAAAACTGTACTAAACTTTGCAGTAAATGCTACCTAATTTCACGAAACTGCTATTATTCTTGATCGAACAGCCTTTCTGCGAAGAGATTTGTGTGTTCGGTTAGGAAACAAAACTGAAAGCACGCACATAAACGGAGACTATGATGAGAGGACGGTAATGAAACCTTGTCTGTAATTCTAAAAGTTGCAATACTATAAATTTATATTTCTGAAGCTCGAAGCAAAATAATCCTACGTTTGTGGGCATAATGTTCGTTTTACTTGACCGTAAAAAGTGGAATGTTACTAATAGTGCATATTGATTGTTCGTTATCAGATTTTACGAGTATAGTTAGATAAATAACGCATGCACAATTGAATGAAGGTAATTAAATACTTGCATGCATTAAACCTTCAAATATGCTAATTTCATACATTTTTTAGGTTAAATTTTCAAAGGTTTATTTAGTGTTAGAGCGCATTATATTATAAATAATATGTAATAAAAAGTATTTTTTATATAAATTATAATCTACATATTTATACAAAAAAAGATCCACATAGAAAAGAAACCCCCACCTTCTACTCGGGACAGTTAATAAATCTGATTTTGTAATATCGACAAATTAATGATTTTCGTAGATAAATCATAAAGTCTGAAGTATAAATTTTAGAACCCAATCCAATTTGCTGTAATGCACGTCATTTATGCAAATAATAATCTCCTCATTTGATATCAAAGAAGTATCGAACCACCACGTCCTTTGAAATTAAGTCTGTTAGTTTATGTGGTTAAATCAATTTAAGTTGGGCGACCAAATATTAGAAGTAAATTATGGAGATTCTTTGGATAAAATATTTGTTTTGTTTCATAATGCATTACAATTTGACAACATTAATTTCAAAATTTGATTGCCTTTATTGCAATTGATAGAATTACGATTAAGTGGAAATCATTAGATTAAAACAAATCAACCTATAGAGCCAGTTAGTCTCAGTACATCACTAGAATCGTTCAGCAATATATTCCTGGTCAACTATTATTAAAACAAAGTTACGTATAAATAGTACGAGTTTTCAGAAAATAAGGCAAAGCCACAAGGTTGCAAGGATGCAAATGATTTTGAACACAAAGTTGTAATTGCTGATGCAGATTCTAAAAAAAATATTTCAAAAATCCAGATTACAGGATTATCAGAAGAAAATATATATTGAACCAAAACGCTTGTTTTTTTTGTAATTGTTGTTTGGATTGAAAATTAATAAAACACAAACCGTTTCTCAAAATTGCTCTTTATCTGAAATTTAGATCTGCTCTTGGAAAATTTGTCAACGATTATGGCAATACCATGAACAATTTGTAACATTTATTTAATAACATGTAATTATCATCAAGTTTATGATAACTCAGATTTCTTTTATTTGATAATTGCTCACAAGGCATTGACGGATGTTGCACCATTTGCGCAATAGCACATAAATTATATTTTTCTCGTAAAGCAAATGCTGTAATTTGCTTATAATTCTTTGCACCTGTTCAGAAGCGTTGACACCTTATTCTTATTAGGGTCATAATATTATTTTATATATTCGTAAACAGCCATAAATTTTACCTAAACTACAGGTGGTAGTGAACAGGTAGGGCACAAACTCAATGTACAATTGCGCGAGTAGGAGCCATATTTCAAAGATTTATCCTTGGTTCCGCACGTACTAGTTTTTAAAACAGTATATTTTTAGTATGGGATAGTCATAAAATGTTCACACCTTTTTATTTTTATATTTATATAATATATATAAATATACTAACAAACCTTATGCAAACTCTTTATTATATTCATTTGTTGTTTCTTTTTTATATCATACGATAACGATAATGACATACGATTAACATATTAAAAATTGGTTTATTATAATTATTATGAATATAATTTTATAACGATTGCATAGTTATATGTTATATAAATTAAATCTTATTTTACAGTTTGTGATTTTAATTAGCACTAGATAGTTAAAAGTAGATATTTTAATTATTTATTTGTTAGTATAATCATATGTATATTATACTTAATTGCTTATATAATAATTTAACTAGCTTAGAAATATGATATTTCTTTTTATATTGTTATAAAAGATTTTAAAAATAACTATCAATAATTTAGTTTGATCATAATACATATCTTGTAAAGTATTGTGTGATAATAAAATTCATTTTTTATGTTCATTCGATTTGTTAACTTCTCGAAAGAGTTTATGTTTTCGCCATAAAATCCTATTTTCTAATTTTATGTTTTCTCGACGTTTCAAGCGATTCTGAATCAAATGAGACCAAATTTGGAAAAAATATGTGTGTGTATGAGCGGTTTTTTGACCTTCCGTCGACGTTCTCTGAAAGGCGGCTTGACCGATTTCAAAATTTTAAAAGCCATTCGATGTAACTCGATAAAGATTGGTGTTTGTCAGATTTACGCGACGTTCACTCAAGCCGTTTTTTGTTAATAGCAGAAAAGTGAAAAAATTTCGTCCACGTTTTAGTCCACAATCCTGAAACATTCTAAAAATTCAAAAGCCGTTCTTATTGGAAATCGATAAAATCATATAAAGGACTACGTACATGATATATGTTATCGTGCCAGTATTTTCTTATATCAGACACTTAATATTTCACAAAATAATTTATTAGTTTCTTAAAAAATGTTTCAACGTTTTTCTATGAAAATAAACATGGCGATAAAGTTCATGCGCTAATATAAACAATCCAATTAAAATTAGTTGAATAATATAAATTCATTAATATTTGGAATAAAAAGCTACAATTTTAGGACATACAAGCACTATAGTGTAAAATAGTCTGGGCACTATATTTATTACAATTACAGATGATTTAAATATATTTGAGAGAATTCAATTGGAAATCGTAATGTTCAGATTTAAGTGAAAGCAAAAACTTCATTTTTGAAATAAACAGTTGAAAACTCTATCTAAATATTTAAATGTCAATTTCAGTTGACTAAGTCAATTATTACTTCTCTTGGAAAGTTTTTGCAACTTGCCTTAAGGCAAAATGCCACTTGCAGCTAGTTTAATAAATCATCTGCTGTATAACTTCTGGAAAGAAACGCAAAATAATTACCTTTTGTGTGTTTTTAACTGATTGATAATTTAGCTAATTTTAATACGTCGCTTACTATGATAAAACTCATTTTATGACAAGTGTTATATTGTATCTATTAAAATCTTTATTTTGAAGTACATAATTTGAAAATGTTTGTAAATAAGTCTGAAGATGTGCCCGATTTCGACAAATACAAAGATGAGCATCCATCAGATATGTCTGTCAGTCATCCTTTTGAAGTAAGCCAGCAGTCACAATCGATAAGCATAGAAATTGTAAATGGGCATAAATGGTTCGGAAAAATGTGTTTCCGCAAAAAAGTATTAAACGGATTCAACATGAAGGTACCAGAGAACCACTTGTATTGCCTCATAGGGCCAAAATGTTGTGGCAAAACTACCATACTAAGGGCAATGGCCGGGCTGCAGCCGCTCGACAAGGGCTTCATTGAATACCGCGGACGGTGTTTACCTATTTTAGAATCGAGTCTCATTGGTTATATGCCACAGGAGCATGGCCTACACTCGCGTCTTACTCTGCGAGAGACCTTTAAGCTTCACGGAGGTTTATTGGATATGGCCCGAGAATATCTCCAAGATCGAATATTCGTAGTCATGCACCTCATGCAATTACCCGATCTCGATCTCAAGATATCGGATATGACTTTCGATCAGCTATGCCGCACTAGTTTTGCGCTGGCGTTCTTACACGAACCGGATTTTCTTCTCTTGGACGAACCCACAGTTGGTTCGGATGCTACGCTCAGAAACGAATTTCGCGCCTGCATGAGAGGGCTGCTAACAAACAGACGCACGAATGTAATTATGACTTCTCACGACTTCGACGAAGCTTATTTCTGCGACACGCTGGGATTGATGCGCGATGGATGCATGATAGCCGAAGGGCCGCCGAATGCCATAATAGAAGCACTAGGAGCAAAGAGTATCGTCGGAATCTTTTACATTACCTCGGTGGGCAGGGGGCACACTGATTACAAGAGGTTGCTCAGTGAATTTGGACACGGCGGAATAAACATAGGATTTGGCGAGCGATTGCATGTTCCTAAATTTGCACCCGTACGGCATATTCCTCCCCGAATTTCGATTATCGTGCGATTGATCTCTGCAAATTAAGGATTTTGACTCGGCAAATTATTCGTGCTTTAGCTTTATTTATACTACCGGCTGTGTACATATTTCTGTTCGGATTATCTGTTGGACCATCACCATCGTACATAAAGCTGTCTTATATGGAACAGAAAAAATTTCTAAGTTATAAGAATTATAACAATGAAAGCTACAGTCTTGATGGCTATCATAATTTTACCTATAATGATATTATCCAGAATACATCCACTGGGCCAAATCTACTTTTATCAAATCTTGTTCTAAATGGTTTAAGTAAACGTTTTGATATGCTGAAAGAAGTAGAAAGTGTTGTATCCGGCAAAGAATCGGTTGCTCGCGATGACGCGCACGCTTTTCTGTGGTTTCCACAAAGAGCAAACTTAACCGAACCGCACATTGCTATTTATTTACCGTCATACAAAAGATTGGACGGCGCCAGATCTAGAGCTGTACGTTGATCCTACGCGCTATATGATGCAAGAAGTAATAAAAGACACTGTCGTACAAGAGTTCCGAGAAGCGGCTAATACGTACTACACTCAAAATATCAGTCGACCGGATGACCCGGTGATAATTGATGGCTTTTCAAGAAAATTGAAGGACCAGAGGTAATCAAGTATTAAGGCAAAGTTGACGTTCATTGAGTAATTTCTTTTAACACCTTTCACCTAAATTAATCATCAGTAACTAAAGATTCAAAAATAATAAAAATTTTAATTAAATAAGATATTCATTTACAATTTTAATACCTTATTTGTGGTGGTATGCGAATTTCAATCATTCGAAGCCTTTATCAACCTGATTCGAATCACATTTTACTTGATTCGAATCAACTCGTATCAAACCAGAGATATAACTGCTATAATATGTATGAACATAAATTTTTAAAAAATATAATAAAATAATTTTAATAAGTTTAAGTACAATAAAAATAAAAGCTGAATTGAATCATGCGAGCCACTCGACTTCAATCGACTCATTCAAGTTACTCGCAACATCCGAATCAATAGAACTATTCGAGTTACTCGCTTGATTCGAATCCTTCAAGATACACACGTGATCCAAGTTAAATGGAATCATTCGAGTTACTCGCATGTAT